AGTGAAAAAGATAGAGCTCGTCGAGTTCTACTTGGCACCAGAGAGAATAGAGTTGGCATCAGCTCTGAAGCGAATCGGGAAAGGAAATACTCGAATCGGGAGCTAAGATATCCTACGTTAAAACTAGAAATACAAAAAAAAACAAGTACATTTTTATTTACATAATGTTCAAATTTGTTTATTGATAGCGCTATCTTTAGCGTTGTTGGAATTGTTGACCTTTTTTGTCAATGGTCCATTCTATGTAAAAAAGTTAATTGAACAGTAATAATCAATTACAAGATATTTTACATATAGAAAATATATTCTTCAATCATACATACCTTTTCAATTGATGGCGGTGTTTGCCGAACAATTGTTTTTGTTTTCTTATTTGATTTAGAGGTTTGTTTCGCTTTGTGTATATTTGACTTTTTTTTCTTTGTTGTCCATGATGATTTACGATAGAGTGAACGTATATATGCTGCTTGTAGACAGACTTGTCTTAATAATTCTGTTTGCGGTTGATCTGACATTGTGTTTGTATACGAAAATGAAAAATTTTGTTAGAACTAAAGATAGATTTGATATCTATAAGTCACTAATGAAAAAATTGCTTAATTCAAATAAAACTGAAAAAAGGTTAACATTTTTTTAAAAGAAAGTTTCACTGCAAACGTACAAAAATCCAAAACTAGTTAACTAATAATTAGTTAAATATATATAGTTCAAAGTTTTAGTAAAATTCAAACGATGATCTGTTAAAATCACGTTCAAACATATTGAAAGTAGCATCATGATTTGATGTACCAGTTTTCTTTTCTCTCTTTGAAGGGTCTTTATAATCATTAACGATTATAATTGGTGATGTTTTTCTATTACAAGCAAACATGACCACGATAATAATGCAAGCTATGAATATCGCACCGTATAGTAAATAATTATTCCTATAAGAAATAAAAAATATTGGAAAAAGAATTTCATATTACAAATATATATATATATAACGTCTGTACGATAGGAAAGAAAGAAAAAAATCGTACATATATATATATATATCGTCTATGTCATCTCTACGAGATAAGCGAGAGAAGAAGAAAAAAAAGATATATCTCAATGACACTAACACAAATGCAATTGATCTATTGAACACGCATAATTAAAGACTTTTCAACAAAAATAAACCATCGATATTTAATCAAATATGAGATTGAAAAGAATACTTATTTTTTTTACACATCGACATACAGAATGACGTCTTTCGTGTAGCTGCTCAAAAATTTACTTATGTGTGAGAGTGCCACAATGGCTCGATTTCCATAATGGATCGGTTTACATTTTATTTAAAAAAGTCTTACCAGTTCTTCTTTAAGTCATTGACCCAATTGAATGGTGTAGTGATAAAATCTTTAGCATCTTTGGTAAGATTGTTAATCTGCTGACCAAAGGTATGAAATAAAGTTCTGCCTTTCAGTTGTGATGATTGTACTGTGTCGAAGGAGATAGGCATATTACGCTCGTGATGCTCACAAGAAAAGTTAGAGCAAATGAAAAAGACTCACTGTGTAACACGTATTTATACTCGACGATGCAACGTTGAGAAAAGGATAGTCTATTTTTTTCTACAGACAACAAAGAATAGATATGATGAACATGTATTGTCATCACCTCTTTTCATTTTCTGGCGGTATTTTTTCAGACGACACCCTCGTCTACCTCCAATGATCAAAGAGAGAGAAGAAAAAATACAGGCCTCATCAGTAATTGGTTGAACATTTAGAATGAGAAAAATAGCGACTATCCAATAGATTGTTGAGAAAATTGATCGTAATGATAAGCCCGTGTGAGGGTATAAATACCTACTGCTCCCAGTAGTATTTATCATTCTTCGTTCGACGTTACCATCTACCACATTCACTGTCTGCTCAATTAACATATTACAATTCAATTCTCAACGACACAAGAACGCATCGTGCCTTTCCAGTATTCATAGTATGTCTTTCTACCAGTTTGAATCATTATATTCCTGTTTTTTTTTCTACTTATGATCAAATCAAACACCGTCTTCTCAACATCTAATACGTTTCATTTTGTATGTGAGTCTAATTTTTTAAATAAATGTAAACCGATCCGTTGTGGACACCGAGCCATTTCTGGCAATATATATCAAATATTTTATTTCTCTTCTTTTTTCTTCTAAGTTAGTCTTTTTATTTGAATTAGATTTAGATGCCATATAGTAGATGATAAAAAAATATAAGAAATAATTCGAATTTCCTTCTAGACTTTAGATGATAGAAGGCAAAATGAACATCTTATTGTATAAAAAATTTAACAATCATCACATATGTTATATGCTATGTGACATCATGTCATGTTTTACATATGTATAGATCTCCTGCTGATTGATAGATAACATCTCTTTTTTTTGATAACATCACATGAATAATTAGATTAAGAATATATTTCATATCAAGAGTAAATAATATTTTATTCTCCATGAATTAGTATCTTTTTATTTCTTGAACTTATCGTCAGAAGCATTTTGTTCTATGATGGATTATTCGTCCTGTTTTTATATATGTTCGTAACCAATAAGCGAATGTTGAATCAAACCTAGTGACTCATCATTTGTATTGTTACTGTTTCATTCGCAGGCATCTTTAAATTAATTTTCATATATGTCTCAAATTTTAGTAGGTTTCCCATGGAGTGCAGACTAGTTTTAAACAATTTAACTGATAGAGATTTAACCAATGATTATATGCGTGGTTTGCTTCATCAACAATTAAAATATCAAAAGTATCGTCGAGTTCCAGCAAGGAATGGAAAATCAATTTTCTATCTTTTTTTTCAAAAAGAAGAAGATACATATGCTGCTTTACGAGCAGCAAAATCGATAAAGGAAATCTCATTAATGAGATATAATCCATTAAATCCTATGATTTCTGAACTACCATTTCGCCCATTTCCACCACAGCATATCATAGATATCTGCCGATATGCTTTCAGAAAATATCTCGACAAATTCAATAATGTGGTATGAGATTTAAGTTCATATGAATATCAGAGTTTATATTTTTTTGTATAGGGTCTTTTCAAAACTTTTATTCGTCGTCTTGCAGAGCAAATCATGGCTCAATATATAAAGAAAGACGAGAGTATGTTTTTTTAATTTAAAATTAAACTTATAAATTATTCGTATTAATTTTTGCTTTAGTACATGAGCGAATCGAAAAGTTATTTACTTGGTGGTGGATGAATGAAAAATTTATTGTCAAAGACAATTACTCAATTCATAAACTTTTGGATGTCTTTTTTAGCTGAAATGCTATTTTTTGTCATAATGTAAATTATATGTTGCTTTATCACATTCATTGTTGTTGTTTTATTCACAGTAGTTTTTTTTCTTCGTTTAATCTATATATTAATGAATCATTGATGTGCCTTGTATATGAACACTTTACTGTGAATAAAAAAAATTCAAATTTCTATTATTACATACTTTTTCACAAGTTGTCACAGTAGGTGGTGTGAAAAAATTTGAGTTGAATTTTGTTTTAGAAACAATTTTTCTATCAATACTACATTGGAGCAATATGAAGCTGGACAACAATCATTCAGCTTTAAGAAGAAAACATGATGCAACTACAGATATGATAAGATGAAAAAAAAAGATGATGACATGAACATGGTGGAATGAAAAGATAATTAACATGTGTGAACATGTGTGAACATATATGTGAGGAGAGAAGAAAAAAAAGATATATATGTGAACGAAGAGAAGGAGAACATGTCTGTAATTGACGAGAGGATGACCTATATCATCTTTTAACAATATATGTACATTTTACAACAATTGATTTATTTTTCGCAATTTCTAATGAAATAGTTTCTTAAGAGTATATTGATATAACATGGATACAATATAGACTACAATTTTTTTCCAAATAATTAATATTAATAGTCTTAAAAATAGATGTGTATTTTTTTTTTAAATAATTAAGAAAGAATATTTGCGATGCAACTCTTTTTGGTTGTTTATTCTTCGATTACATACGAAAAAACGACTGTATTCTATCAAATTGTTGACGTTTTCATTTGTACTAACTAGGAGTGATATTCATTTGCAATTTTTGATTGTCAGGTGTGTATATACAATCATAAGTAACATATTGAAGAGGAAAAAATGATAATTAACAGAAGCAGAATGACAGCGAGTGCATCATCTTTGTTTGGTTTTGACCGTTGTAGAATTCGCCCATATATAAGCTGCGTTTTTTCATTATAATAATCATTCTCGGTATAGTCGCTTAAACATATAACACGAAATAGCTTAAAAATGGCAGCATCTCAAAATCAATATAATATGCAGGTAATAATTTTTGAATAACTAATTACTCAGTAGTACTGGTATCTATTGTAGGGCTTACGACCTATGAAAGTTCAATTACCACGTTTAATTATGGAACTTCCAATGCAACTAGTTCCAACGCACTTACCATCAACACCGTCGTTATTCCCACGACCATCGCTACAGCCATCATCATTATTTCGGCCATCATTATTCTTTCAGCCACCATCATTACGACCACCAGCAGAACCACAACCACCGGCACAACCAAAACCACCGGCACAATCACAACCACCGGCACAACCACAACAACCGCCACAACCACGCCCACCCACACCGCTACAGTCAACAATTTCATTAGAAGAAAAGTCACCTGAGCGACACATTTTATGTCTTCGCTGTGGACGTACCCGTGTTATAATTAATGTAAATGATAAGACAAAAATCGAGACAAATCACTAGTGTCCTGGCCATACACAAGCTTCAAAAAATTCCAAAGTTGGAAATAAAAAAATTAAAGTAGAAAAATGAGAAGATTATTAATTAATCTCGCGTTTTGAAAAGTTGTGTAGAAGGTAGTTGGAGTGTTGCGTGAAATATTAGATAAACGAAAATGTATATAATAATAAATTAATCTCGCGTTTTGAAAAGTTGTGTAGAAGGTAGTTGTAGTGTTGCGTGAAACATTAGATAAGCGAAAATGTATATAATAATAAATTAATCTCGCGTGTTAAAAAGTTGTGTAGAAGGTAGTTGTCGTTTTGCGTGAAACATTAGATAAACGAAAATGTTTATAATAATAAAAATAAATAAAAACAATTAGTTGGTATTCACTGTACAAAAAGACAACATGCAAGGTAATCTATAGGAACAAGCAATGGCATTCGAAATGTTCAAAATATTACAATTAATTCTTTTTGCTTCAGTTGTAAGTGTGTTCATCATCAAAGAACAAAGTACATCAATCAGCCGCTTCAATAGCAGATGATATCAGACTATTCATTGTGACATTTTTTTTTATAGCAATCATTAATCAAACATGAATGTGACCTATTCTACAATGTGAAATAATAGTTAAATATATTGGATGCTATTCTTGACTTCGATTATGATATTCTACACGTTATGAATTAACTTCATTTGACTGAGAAAAAAAATGTTCCGTCATGCTTGTTCTACGGTTAAATAGACGAGTCAACAAATTATAAAAGAGAAAAAAATGACTGAAGCAGAGCGTATAAATATAATAGACCAATGGCATTTTGTAGACAAGAAAAAAAGAAAAAGAAATGTTGAACGATTGGGATAGACGGCAGAAAAAACAGAATGTGAATATTGATGATTGATGAGATAGACAGATCATTATCATATCATTTGATAACATTAATATGTTTATAAACATTTTTAGATATCTATCTTTACCATTTAATTTTGTAAAAGTGTTCAGCTTCTTACTTACTATGGAAAAAAATACATTTGTTGAATTGCATCGGGATATTGGATGTCATTTATTAACGTTCCTTGATGGAATGAATGCGATCAATTTTATTGAAGCAGTAAATGATAGCAATCAATTTTATTCAATTGCGAAAACATTAGATCATCATTTTATTCAGCTAATTAGTACATTTCATAATCATAAGAAAATTTTGCTCCCGCCTTACGTATTTCAATGTTTTACGGATGAATATGATATCGACGAAGAACGTCTTACGTTAATCTCGAGGCATTATTCTTCAGTAATTGAACCGTTAGAACGCTTATATGTACATTCATGCTTTAGTATAGAAGGATTTTTGAAATTATGTGGCCTCTATAAAACTTCTCTTTTCAAATGCTATTCGCGGCTCTTACCGTTGAACAGTGTTTATTATGGAGCAGATTTTGGACTTCTTGATTATGAATTGTATGGCCATACAATCGGTTCAGAACGCATGTTAAATGACCATGAAAAAAATCTTTTTAAAGGTAATAATTATACGAAGTTGTTACCGGGCGAGTCGATTACACTGATCGAAACTAAAACACTTGACTATTGTCAGATGAGAACATTTGGAAAATACAGGCAGACGAAGAAAAAAAATCCCATATATGTATGTCATCTATACGACAAGGCAGAAAGCAAAGAAAAAGAGAGAGAGAAGAAGAAAAAAAAGAAGATATATGTGAATGACCTTATAGCAGAAGGAGAGAATATTATATCTAAAAGTCAATATATATGATTAATTTTAGGTAACACATATTTTAACATGAACAAAGATAGTTCAAATATAACATTTGTGCACACAATACAAGAGTTTAAACAGAATTTTATCAGTCGCTTTTCATCAAATTTATGGCTTGATGCAATTGACTTCTCAAAATGGGCAATCGTTGGAGGATGTGTTTTAAATGCACTATGTTGCTCACCGTTCTCAGATACCACGCAACAAGATGTGAACTTAGTATACTACAATGATGATATATTAAATTTTAAGAAATCGATAGATATTACTGTTAATAAACTAAATAAAATGGTTTCACAAGATTCAATGAGTGAAATAAAAGTAGAAAAAATACCAGGAAAGTCTGCATACAACGTTTTCCTTCCGTGTCAAGTTTGACTTAATTTTACTTGGAGTCCTATAGAGAAATCTAAAAATCCACTTTCACATATTCTTCATAATTTTGACATGGATATTTGTCAAGTAGCGTTTATTGGTAAATATTTATATCTTTTAATCACTTCTTCACTATATTTATGAGATCTTTAGGAGATAAAATCGTATCAACGTTTCCATTCTTACAAGCTCTTTCAACAAGATCATTCATTGTTTATACTCTACATGCTCGAAGTCCAAAGCATTTATTTACACGTATAGAAAAATATTGTTACAGAGGATTTAATCTTTTAGAACCTATCGATTTCGATGGTGATTTCGAATTTTTGATGGCACAGGAAGAAATTCCATTGTATCGTGTTGAATATCAGCACTATATCGATGATGAAGGTGAAATTCAAATTGCTACAACAGAATTTCGTCGACCATTTTTGAACAATGTTGATACTTTTCGGTTGCAAGAAAAATTCATACATATGGTTTGTCCTCAGTTATTGTACCATCAATAATACTTTTGAAATTCTATTTGATTTGTTTTATTACATGTTTTGAATATGAACAAAAAATTCGATTCACTTAAAACTTAGCATACATTTGTTTTAGTTTTCATATTTATTTATAGCATGAACTTGTTGTATACTTATTCATAATCTTATTAATTATTAAATAATTAAATTAAAAATTTTTTTAATACTCTAATATGCTACTTAAACTTAGACAATTATGTATGTTTGTTGTAGATTACATCAACATTAAAACTTACGTTTATCTTTCAAGTTATTCTATAAAAATGTCTCAATCATCGAGTTAGTATTGTGTTAAAAAGTTTTTCAAAATTACATAATATTACGTTTAATATATATAATAGATTCTGCAATGAATATGAATATTTTTTCAGAACTATCTACAATTACGACTGATGATAAGGTCAGAACTGAGCATATTATAATCTGATATTTTTATTAGTGTGATAATAGGTTATGTCAATTGAAGCTGAAAAAGGAATGAAAAGAGCTGCTTCTGAACAATTACAAGGTCAAGGTAAAAAGATTATGACTGACCATCATGCTTCAAGTTCCACTCCAAAATCTTTTGATCAACCAAAATTTGTTAGTGCCAGCGAGATGATTATCAATAATCGTACAAGCATACAGCAAATACCTGAAATTTCTGATGAAGAATTTCTTAAAATGGCAATTGAATTCGAAAAATTACATCCTCAATAATTTTCTGCAATAACTTAATAAAATTAAACATATTCAATAGACAAAATGCGTGTTTCTTTGCAGTGTATTAGTGTAGCGACGTAGTACTTAAACTTTTATGAAATTGTAGTTTTTTTGCGTTTAACTTACACATATTCACTTTACTTATCCTTATTGATAAAATATTATTATCGTTTGAACTTATTTCAGATGAGAGATTTCAGCTAATAGTAGATAAAAAACGAATTTCATCTTGGAAGCATTGGTCATCCAATATTTTTAAATGAGCATCGATAAGGTAAATAATATATCGTAGTTTCGAAAATTTCCATTTACTTTCTATTATATTTGAACAAGCAATATATATCATGTGCTCATACAATCACAATTATTTTTTCTTCAGTGGTAATCCATAAAATTCGACTGATATCAAACACTTAACTTCAGATTTTAAAGTAGGATTGAAGTGAAAAACATTATCATCTGATGATATGCAATGAAAAATATCTTCATTAGATGAGTTGAACTCAAAAAAGCTTCATATGATGATATAAAATGAAAACAAATCATCATATGATGAGTTGAATAAAACAAACCTTCATGGGATGAGTTGAAATGTATATATATATGCCTGTCTCTCTCTCCACTTTTTTTCAATACACATGTACATGAGTTCATATATGTATAGATGTTCACATGACATGTATGCTACGAATAAAGGAATGAAAAAAATTATCCACGATAACGTGATGACTTCCTTTTTCAAATGAAATTGTATTAAACAAATATTCAGATGCGATATTATGAGTTATTAATATAAAAATTTAATATGTGTGTATATATATTTAACTGTATCTAGAATTTCTTTTTTTATCATATATACATGAATGTATTAAATCAAAAAAATGAACCGTAGATAGAACAATAATTTCGAACGTCGAGTTTTTTTCGAGTTTTTTCTTGCATTAACACCGTGAATAGGTCCACATCAGACCGTTAATCTCGTTCAACTATCATGTACATAAACTCTACGAAAAAAAATAAGAAAGACTATGTTGATCGATTGGTTTAGATCTTCTTTAATTAAAAAGTTTGAAATAAAATATAGACTAGAATAATCAATGCTCTTAATTTTTTAAAACAACGTATAGATATATTGAGCACTGTACGTAGAAAAAATAAATCAATAAATGAAAACAATATTAAAATAATTCGCAGTACTGCAACCATAATTTGCCGTCATGACAAACTATAAATTATCTCAGTTGATAAGATGATATTTTTCATACAAGAAACGATTAAAAGCAACAAAAACTGCAGATGATACATCTTATATATTTAAAATAAAAGCAGATTCAGATAGAAATTTTTATTCCATTAGGTGGTAGTTGAAATATTTCTACATTTGAGAAATTAGAAACAAAAAGAATAATAAATTATAAGTTTAATAAATAAAAAAAAGAAGTTTTATATTTCGGAGTTGTATTTTATGACAAGAAATTTCAGTTTCTTTGGATGTATAAAAATAGTCATAAACTGATATTAATAATAAAGTTGGTAATATTGAAACATACATATTTAAATTCTAAAACTGTTCTTGTGAGAAAAAAGTTGATTCTATTTTGTAATTCGAAATTTAGAAAAAATCTATATGATTTCATAATTGAAAAAAGCTATAGTCAAAATAGTAATATTTATTTGTATAATAATTTTAATCTAGTATGCATCTTAGAGATCATTGCATATTATTGAAAGAAATAAAAGAGTCTACGCAATCGATTCTGTGTATATATTTAATAAACGAAATATCTTAAAGAAAAAATTTTTGTTTGTGAAAATACAAGTGAGAAATAGAAAAATTTTAGTTAATATTTAGAATAGAAGAAGAAAAAATATCGTTTGCCATTTAATTTCGAATTTGAAAAAATTCATTAAACATTATATGATTGATTTGATGAGTTAAAAATATTGTGCAATTTAAATCAAAGACTTTCTTTTCTGCGTAAGAACGACTCATATATTTTAAATTTAGAGAAATAAAAGTAAATAGGATTTCTTGTAAATATTCAGGTTGAATATTATATATTACTTTGGTTGCATTTTGCTCAGCTTTTACATGGTTATAAAAAAAGAATTATATATTTTATGAGTATAGACACATGATTTTTATTATTAAATGGTAAACTACTTTATTACTTGGATATGAATTTTTTAGATCAATGATGTCTAAATTATTTATTTTTTCCTCGACTATTATTGACTGTTTAGTAAAATTAATTAATCTTAAATATTCAAATATACCTTTTTAACATATAATCATAAAATAAAATGAAAATTTAAAAGATTTTTATTCTGCATTTATCGATTATGTTTATTCTATGAATGTAATAAAATTTAAATGTTAAAAAGTCAGAAATTTGGTTTATAGTCTATTATATGTTGGTATATTTCATAGTGCGTTAAGTTGATGTGATTGTAATGGGATATATCAATTGATAGAACGAGTTAGTGGTCAGTTATATTTATATAATAGTTTACATAGATTAGTCACAAATCTTATGGATGATTGAATTTTATTATTTGTCTCGATGTTGTCAGTCAAAAAAGAAAATGAATAGAACTTCAGCTGCAATAGAATCGCCTCGTATTGTCTGATATATTGAGACATTCACAGAAAGAACAAATATCACAGCCGTTGCCTACTCAAATAATTCGTATAAATTACCCTTTTTTTATTAAATTTAAAAATAATTTCTATGTAATATCATTTCAATCTCTATCTTTTTCCGTTACACATTTATGAATCATATAAATATGTATATCTATGTATAGATCAGACACAGATAAAAAGAAGAAAAAAAAAAGAAATTCCTATTTCTAACAATATCTCATCTAGTTTTATAGTAAGAAATTATATAACTATACCAAAAATAAAGTAATCGTAACAATCCTGATCGATATAAAAGAAATTGAAAGCATTCAAAGGATTACAAATTAAAACAAAATACAACTTCTCTAAAATAACGAGTACTATAATAGTTGAAAGTGAAAATAGATACTAGGATGAAAAGGAAATAAATTATTGGAGACATTTCTGTAAAGTTTGTTCTCATCAAAATAATATCAAGATCCTTTAACATATTCTCATGAAGTCATCGTCGATCTATACTAAATGCTCAAGAATATATTTACACTACTATTTTAGCATGAAGCATTTATTGTTATCTTATCATTCTTACAGTCATCGATAGTCAGATCATTATATTATATTCATATTTGTAAATTAAAAAGAATTATTTTAGTTATTGTCAATTTTATTTATAATTCTTGAATAAGATGATGATTGTTATTATCGTGCTTGTTCACTTCTCTTTTTTTCATAAAATTTGTCTATATGATGTTTGAACGAGTTTATATATACAAGTAACGCTCGTCTGAAGAGTAGCTCAGCTCTTTCTCGTAGAAGAAATGTGTCTTTACTATCAACGAACTATTTAACAAAATCGACTTTAGATTTGAGTTTCTTGATCTCAATTTACATATTTTTTCAACCAATCAGTAACGGTACGAACACATAAGCAAGTAAATAATTTATTCTTACTAGATTCTCTTCTACGAGATAGAAAATAACATTATTTAATTATTCAAGAACGCGGAATACGTAAATAGACATGTGCATATCTTGTTTTTCTATTATCCTATTCGATATTATGAATAATGTACATTTATATTACACTCGATTTTGAAATGGTGAATGAACTCTATTAAAAATAAAAAAAATGAATTGTTTTAATTTAACTTACATATTAACTATTATATCAAAGAAAGAGTTTCATCTTAAAAGGGTTAGTATCGTTCAGTTGATATATTTCAATTCCTTTACTATTCTATCAATCAAAACAGCTATAATCTTATAAAACTATGAGTCTTGTTTAATATTATGAAATCTCCATGATAATTTGTAATTCCTCTTTGATTTTAATTCTTTTTATTGCCAAATAAAAAACATGAATGAATATGGATGCATGTATGAGATTATATTTATCAATACACTTATTTAAAGGAAAAAAAATACCGCCACATCACTACAAATAAGATAAAAATAAAAGTCTTTGTGGCATATACTCATTAGAAACTCTAAAAAAAAAAGAATATTAAATGATATACACATTTAATTGATAATACATAGGGATTTTTTAAGATGTTAGTGAAGTTTCTCATTCATTTCTCTCTGTTGTTGGCGTAGATACCTGTGTTGCAATATTTTGATCAATTACTACATGAACAAGTTGAGCTTCAATAACAAATAATCCAAAATGATGAAAAAATAAAAAATATTGAATGAACTATAAAATAATAGCTTGTTACTGATACTAAACCTGAGCATTGACCATTATATCGAGCATGATATGCATAAAATGCAAAATGATATAAATAAAAAATCTTTAGAAAATAAAAACATAAGTGTAGTCATTTTTTAATTAAAAAATATAACGAACTTACCGAACCCAGTGACGCTTACTTAGTAGTATATGACAACATATACTATCATATTGATCTGATATCCACACAACAAGCATAATATAAAAAGCTAGAGAAAGAAAAAACAATAGTATCGATATAAAAAAAAGATCATGACAGTAAATTCTATGAAGATATGAAAACGCTTCTAAATTATGATTATCTCACTTCTTATGTATCAAAAAAATTAAATGATTACATTTTCCGTCTAAGATTTTACTTGCAAATAAATTTCTCTATAAATAAAATTTCAAGTCAGTAAAGTTGCTTAATTTAAAATCTATCAATTAATTTAAAATATATCTGCATAAAATAATTATTACCAGTTGATACATTAAAAATTCCGACATAATTACTTCCATACCTATGACATACAAACATACTTTTTTTTTAACTAAAATCAATCGTTTTTACCAATCAATGCTAATATTACTGTTAATAATAGTGCAGCAGGAAACACAACAGATGCATTATGTTCCATCATACGTAAAAGATCAACT